CCAGCGTAAAAATGTGCTGCACAAGCCGGTAGTGAACGAAAGATGCCAGATGATAATTGTTGAAATGCGTTTACTGGCTTCATATTATGTCTTAAGAGCAGGTATTTTCTCTCACATAAAGGCTGTAGAGCACAATTGTTGATAACATCTGAAATAAATAATAAACACATTAATTAGTGTATTTGCCTTGCAGAACGATGATGTATTATAACCTATCGCATATAAAATTAATGGTACATCATATATTTAGACCCCTCGCCCTGTAACTTCTGCAAAGGGACGACACAAGCCCCAACCCCGTCGATGCAATCTTGGCTACCCCACAGTGTGTCTATACAACAAATTTCGGCCGAGGATTAAGGAACATTATAGGTTTGTAAATTAATTAGTTTAAAATGCAATATGATAGTGCAAAATCTAGGTAATATCCGTTACTGCGAAAAACGTTATCTATACTCACTTGCTACAGCATCCGATTGTGCTGATGTACAATAATGTTTCATAGTACTTCCAACATTAGTATCGAGTAATTCGTTGAAAAGAACAAGACATCTCATGCTACCACGAAATCCAATACTCCCTCTCTCAGAATTACCTATTTCAATGTAGGCATTGCCAGATAATCCAAATGAACCGCAAGTATCAGGAATATGAAAAATACTGTCATCAATCGACACCAGTAATTGGTTTGTTTCCCTCAGTATTCCCAACAGAATCCACGAATTGAAATTGATATTTGTAGTGATATGTGAAAGGGCACACGAAGAACTTGTTGTAAATGCTTCGAAATAAACACCCGTGCCTGTGTGTATTAATTCTAGAACAGTGTTTCCCGATGAGGATAAAATTTGAATTATTTTTCCAGACGAGTAGTTCTGAAAATAAATATAAGTCATAAGGGAAAAGTCTCCTGTTAAATCACTACTGTTTATTGTCAGCTTTAAACTGGAATATGACGAGCCATCAAAACGTAGACCACGGTGATCAAAACTTGGATGAGTTTTTCCTGATCTCAAACATTTGTTGTTATTGTTGTGGAGCATCAAATGAACATCAGATGTCCATGCCACGTCATCCAACGGAAAGAGGTGATGAACTGATACTGTAACATACCAGTTCTGACATGTAGGCTCTGAAATTATAATATAAAAAAACCATATCTTCGTCTCTTTTTGAATAACACTATCAAGCAAGTTTGCCACCATCTCTCTCTATGAAACACAATATAACAAATTGTCCTCATATGTTTTACATTGTATTATTTTGATTTGTGAAAGCAATAGAGTCTACAGTTTTGATCCAAACGTGAAAAAACATGCTGAGTAAAATCTTTGATTTTTCGTAGATTTATTTATTACTGTGATCACAGCAGAAGAAACAGAATTTATCCGATTCTTTTCACAAAAACTTGGTATGGGTATCGTATCTATTTAAAGGTTAGTGTGGTTGAAAAGTAACAAGTTAACATTTAATAAGTTAGAGAGATCTTAGAAGGGTGTGTAATATG